CCAAACGACCTGAGTCTCCGCAGCAGGTACAGCCTGCTCTGCCCTTTCCTGTAGAGGGCGTCTGAGTTATGAGTCCAGTCCAGTCTGTTGTTTAGTTGAACACCAAGGTACCTGTAGCTGTCCACAGCCTCAATGTCCATACCTTGGATGTTCAGTGGTTACAGTGGAGGATGTTTGTGCCTGCAGAAGTCTACCACCAGCTCCTTGGTTTTACTGGTGTTGATGTGGAGGTGTCATGGTTCTGGGTCGGTTCGACCCAGCATTTTGAGTTCTCTTGTTTTGGTTTATTTTTGAGTGATCGTTTTGTTCTCTGGTGCTTTGTTGATTATTATTATTTTTATTATTATTTATCTATTGGTTCTGTGATTCGGGTTTTGGGTTTGCTTTCAGGATTTGTGTCTCATGTTTAGCATTGAGTTCCATGTATTATATTCTGTCTGCCTCTCAGTGTCGAGTCTGTGTCTTTGTGTGATGGTTTCTTGTTTCCTGTTTTATTGTGAAAGTCCGTGTCTTATGTGAGTGTTTTCAGTTTTACCTCCCTTGTCTCGTCTTGTTAATTACTCCCAGCTGTGTCCCCCACCTGTGTGTAATCTCCCTGTGTTTCTCTGAGTGTCTTCTGTTGTAGTAGTCGCTGGTCCGTCTGTGTATCCACCATGTTTCATCTGTGTGTTCTACCTGCTGTCAACCGTCATTTACCTCCGTCCATCCTCCTTCATGTTCATGTCCTGGTTTGTGTTCAGTAGTTTAGTTTTTCTCAGTTTAGATAGTCTTCTGTCCCATTTGCCATTTCTCTATTTGCATTTTGTGTCCAATAAACCACCTTCACACCTTTACAAGTGCCTGCATTTGGATCCTACTTCATTATCTCCACACGGCTCACTCCACTCGCCGTGACATGAGGTAGTTCAGCTGACACCAGTCCACAAAATCTTGGGTCAGTCGTCTGTACTCCTTGTCGTCCCCATCAGTGATGAGGCCGACTATTGCAGAGTCATCAGAGAACTTCTGCAGGAAGCACTGGGTGGAATTGTGGGAGAAGTCTGCAGTGTAGATGGTGAAGAGGAACGGAGCCAGAACC